CTGGGGGGTTAAGGGTTTTGGGTTCGGGGTTTTGGAATTCGGGGTTTTGGGGGTGTGAAGGGAGGGGGGGGAGGGGAAAAGGGGTTCAAGTCAGGAGAGCGTGAACTCGAGCTTCAGATCCATGCCGCCCAGATCCGTGCGAATCTGGGGGAAAATGGGAGACCAGAGGGGAAGGGGAGGTGATAAGAAATGGAGGTGGGGAAGAGAGAGGGAGACGTGAACTCCAGCTTCAGAGGTCTCAGAAGAGGCAGTGTGGTCTCGAAAGAGGCATGGGTTCAAACCCCATCTCTGACACTTTCAAACCTGCTCTTTCGCACTGCTGCACTACCGAGAGATTGATGAAGCATTAAATCTCAAAAGACATGTCAGAGTGGCCGAGTGGTCTAAGGCGCCGCACTCAAGTTGCGGTCTCAAAAGAGGCATGGGTTCAAACCCCATCTCTGACACTTTTACCATCACCCACCACCGCTCACCACCCCCCATCACCTCTCACCACCGCTCACCATCTCCATGAGCCCCTGCAGTGGCTCGTAGTCCTTGGGGGTGATCAACCTGCCGCACTCCTGGGCGAACTTGCACGTCTCCATGACTGTGAGCGTGGGGATGTGCTCGTCCGTCTGCCCCACAAACGCCGTAACCCGCCGCACCTGCACCTCCCGCCACGGCCGCCCGTTGTACGTCACGTCGCCCGAGAGGCGCAGGGACTTGGTTTCTGGGAGTCGCCCTGCGATGGTTTTGTGGAAAGCGGATTTGCCTGGGGGCGGGGAAGAGGGAAGGGGGGAGGAGGTGAGTGGGGGGTGGGGTGGAAGAGTCACGGCCGCCCGTTGTACATCACGTCGCCTGAGAGACGCGGGGACTTGGTTTCTGGGAGTCGCCCTGCGATGCTCTTGTGGAAAGCGGATTTGCCTGGGGGGCGGGAGGACGGGGGGAAAACACAAAGGGGGGGTGGGGGGGGGAGTGGTTGGGGGAAGGGGTGGGGGGGGAGGTGTCATGCCTGCCCATTGTTGCCACCTTGCCTGAGAGACGCGGGGACTTGGCTTCTGGGAGGCGCCCTGCAATGCTCTTGTGGAAAGTGGCTTTGCCTGGGAGGCGGAAGGGAGAGAAAAGCAGGCGAGCTGGGCATAGCGTGTGAGCTGGGCATAGCGTGTGAGCTGGAGTGGGCTGAGAGGCCAGTCAGAGAGAGCACGCACGAGCTGATTAAGAGACATTCCAGCGAGCAGCAGTTTAAGGGAGAAGGTTTAGCAAAACCTTTTGTTTTCTCCTTTGCTAAACCTTCTCCCTTCAACTGCTGCTCGCTGGAATGTCTCTTAATCAGCTGGAGTGGGCTGAGAGGCCAGACAGAGAGAGCACGCACATTGCACTCAAGCCCTCCTCTCAAAGAAAAAGAGATTTTTTTTCTGGAGGAAGGCTCGAAGACTCGGCGCGTCAGGGCTGCCCCTGTGTCGTTCAGTAACGCTACAATAGCAGTCTCACTGCATGGAGGGTTTCTTGAGGGGGAAGCGGGGACTCAGAAGCAGCAAAGTCTCACCGCATCCGGGCGGGCCACAGATGAGCGTGAGAGAGCCGGGCATGAAGTAGGCAGAGAGGTCTGAGAGCACGTTGAAATCCTCCCAGGGGGCGGGCGGGGAGAGGCACGGCAGGAAGCAGCCGAGAAGCTTCGACCCCACCGTCTCGTACCCCTCCTGCTTGCGCTGGATCTTGGCTGTGTAGGTCACGTTGTGTAGCTTCACCACCTGGCGGGAGGGGAAAGGGAGAGTTGAGAGTTAGGACTGTGCTTTGAGAAAATCAAGGCAACGGTCTAGTTCCCTTCAACCCCCCTTCCCTGCTTGCGCTGGATCTTGGCCGTGTAGGTCACATTGTGCAGCTTCACCACCTAGCGGAAGCAGAGGGACAGAGGGACAGAGGGACGTGAGGAAAGGGAAACATGGAAGGTTCTAATATTTCCTCCTGCTTGCGCTGGATCTTGGCCGTGGGATGAAAGAGCTTTGGAAACGAAGAGAGGTGGAGGGAAGGGGCGGGAGGTGGGCGGAAGGGGCGGGCGGGAGGGGCGAGAGGGGCGGAACGGACGGGCGGGGCAGAAAGCAAATGAACATGAGTGCAATTACGGTTCACGCCCATGCATGCATGATTGCGCAGAACCATTACTTCCCTTTCACCACTCTGCTTTTCCCCTTACCGCATCAACCTTGCTTCCCCCTTCCCTTCCTCCTCCCCTTTCCCCTACCCTTTCCCCTCCCCCCTTCCCCCTACCATTCCCCTCCCCCTACCCTCTTCCCCCTCCCCCCTCCCCCACCTGTTCGGGCATGGGCGGAATGTATTGACTGAGTTTGACCAGGAACGCCAGCAGTCCGTCCCGCAGCAGCAGGTCAATGCCGGTCAACCCCTCCCTCTTGGAAGGCACGCGGAACGAGATGCGCTGCAGCTGCTGCGCGCGCTGGGTAGGGGGAACCGGGGGAGCGGGAGCAGGAGCGGAAAGTGGGGGACGGAAAGCGGGGGGACGGGTTGCGAGGGGGCGGCAAGCGTTTGGGCGGGAAGCGGGGGGGAGAAACGATTGGCGGGAAGCGGTGGCGGGACCGGGGGGTGGGGGGGCTGGGGGAGCGGGGGACAGGGAAGTGAGCGGGGGGTGCAGTGAAGAAGCGAGATGACGGATAAGTCATACGAGCAATGAGTTGAAGTGATGGATGCGACATTGCATTGCACCGCACTCCACCGCGCCGCACATGTGGTGCGCCCCACCACATGATGGCGCGCAGTTCAGTGGCCACGCAACGACAGCATCCTCGCACCGACGGTCACATCACATCACGTCACTCGCGCCACGTCATGACACGTCACGTCACGTCACGTCACGTCACATTACGTCACGTCACGTCACGTCACGTCACGTCACGTCACGTCACGTCACGTCACGTCACGTCACGTCACGACACATCACGTCACGTCACCTCACGTCACATCACGTAACATCACGTCACGTCACATCACATCACGTAACATCACGTCACGTCACATCACGTCACGTCACATCACGTCACGTCACATCACGTCACGTCACATCACGTCACCTCACGTCACACCACGTAACATCACGTCACGTCACATCAGTCACATCACATCACGTCACGTCACGTCACGTCACGTCACGTCACGTCACGTCACGTCACGTCACGTCACGTCACGTCACCTCACGTCACATCACGTAACATCACGTCACGTCACGTCACGTCACGTCACGTCACGTCACGTCACGTCACGTCACGTCACGTCACGTCACGTCACGTCACGTCACGTCACGTCACGTCACGTCACGTCACGTCACGTCACGTCACGTCACGTCACGTCACGTCACGTCACGTCACGTCACGTCACGTCACGTCACGTCACGTCACGTCACGTCACGTCACGTCACGTCACGTCACGTCACGTCACGTCACGTCACGTCACGTCACGTCACGTCACGTCACGTCACGTCACGTCACGTCACGTCACGTCACGTCACGTCACGTCACGTCACGTCACGTCACATCACGTCACGTCACATCACGTCACGTCACATCACGTCACCTCACGTCACACCACGTAACATCACGTCACGTCACATCAGTCACATCACATCACGTCACGTCACGTCACGTCACGTCACGTCACGTCACGTCACGTCACGTCACGTCACGTCACGTCACCTCACGTCACATCACGTAACATCACGTCACGTCACGTCACGTCACGTCACGTCACGTCACGTCACGTCACGTCACGTCACGTCACGTCACGTCACGTCACGTCACGTCACGTCACGTCACGTCACGTCACGTCACGTCACGTCACGTCACGTCACGTCACGTCACGTCACGTCACGTCACGTCACGTCACGTCACGTCACGTCACGTCACGTCACGTCACGTCACGTCACGTCACGTCACGTCACGTCACGTCACGTCACGTCACGTCACGTCACGTCACGTCACGTCACGTCACGTCACGTCACGTCACGTCACGTCACGTCACGTCACGTCACGTCACGTCACGTCACGTCACGTCACGTCACGTCACGTCACGTCACGTCACGTCACGTCACGTCACGTCACGTCACGTCACGTCACGTCACGTCACGTCACGTCACGTCACGTCACGTCACGTCACGTCACGTCACGTCACGTCACGTCACGTCACGTCACGTCACGTCACGTCACGTCACGCCACGTCACATCACGTCACGTCACATCACGTCACGTCACATCACGTCACATCACGTCACGTCACGTCACATCACGTCACGTTGCTACCGCCCTTCACTCACAGCATGCGACACATCCTTGCACTCTTCAACACAACCCCGCAACACAACACAACCCCGCAACACAACCCCGCTGCACCACTCTTCGCCAACGCACTATAACGCAAGGCTACAACACACAACGCCGCACCCTTTACCGCACCCCGTCCCACCGCATTAGACCACTACCTCCGCCAGTAGCACCACCTCAAGCACCCCCTCACCTCCATGATGCTCCGGTAGGCCTCCGCGGCGGCCTCACGCTCCCCCACTTCCACCAGCCGCACGTGCTGCTCTATCCACAGCTCGACCAACACGTCTTTAGCCAGCCCCGTCAGCACCCCGCGCATCTTCCCGTAGTCGAACTCCGCCGCGCCTTCCGCGGCGCCTGCGCCTGCGCCTGTGCCAGCCGCCCCGCCACGCGGCGCTGCCCCTGCCTGCGCTGCGCCGCCTTGCGCTAGCAGCGGCTGCTCCTCTTCCTTCTTCTTCTCCCCCGCCGCCGCCGCGAGGCCCCCGAACGTCGCCGCTGCTCCGCGCATGGCGGCGCTTCCCCCGACCGGGGCGGACATCTGCAGGGGGATGCCGCCGCGCGGTTTCCCGCCGACGGTGTGTCGGCGGAACGTCCCCGCGGCGGGGCAGCGCGGCGTGTCCGCTCGCCCGTGCCATTGGCGGAGCGTTTCCGCGAAGTAATGCACGTCGGCGGCGGACAGCTCGTCATCCTCCG